TCTTGAGTCATATGAAGCAAGTTAGTAGGATCAGTTTGTAACAGAACATGCTCAATTTCATCTGGATTATTAGGATTCTTTAACGATAAGTCTAATGTGATAAGTGGTGCAATTTGCTTCAATAGAGACCTTGATGCAGTCTACGACATAAAATAATTCAATTATAGATTTAATTTATTTAAATATTTTAAGGAACTAAGTAAAAGTGAAGATCCTACCTGTACTTCAAATCTCCATTCCATATCATGATACTTAGGCAGTTTAAATCCAATCTCTTCCAGTGCATCTGAAACTTCATCCTTTTTAACACTGTATAATTTACTTAGTATTGCCTCTTGATCTTCTGTAAAACCTAAAGCAATCATAGAATCCTGGAAATCCTCTGCGCTTAGCTATAAAACTCAAGTATATTAAACAATGGTTTTGTTACAACAAATTTTTATTTTGTATTATTGTCAATAGCTCTCACCTTGTATTTGCAACTTTCCAACAAGAGATTGAGCAAACCTTCTACTGAATTTTTAATTACATCTTGTTCCACATTTAATTTCTCTGAAACATAGCAAATTAACAGTTTTGTAATTAACAGTTTTGCAATTAATAGTTTCCAATTAACTTTTGCAATTAATAGTTTCCAATTAACTTTTGCAATTAATAGTTTCCAATTAACTTTTGCAATTAACAGTTATACACATCATTTTAATAGTTACAACAATTAATTACTTACGAGCGGCAGCATTGTACATCTTAACGTTCGGGCCTTTCTGCAGATAATCTAAAGCTAACTTGCAAAAGTCCTGTAAAACTTCAGAAGGAAATCACTTTATTTTTCTGTAAGACAATACAAAACATCAATGGATGACTCTCGTTCATACCTGGTAATGATTGTTCAACTAAAAACAATATGTGCTTCTTATGATCCGGCTTCAACGTTAATAACATTTTCATTAGTTAGATCTGTTATTTAATGTGAAATGAATATCGCATAAAAATTTATAGCCATCTGATGATGGTTAGATTATTTTCAAGCGAGCGGCACTATCGCCGCCATGTTATTAAACCACTCGACGTCATTCGGCGGGGCATTTGAAAAATAATTCAATAACATTACAGTAATGACATAACTTTTCGAAGGCAAAAAATCTATCATAATTGTCAGAAAATAATCTGTCTTATTAACTGCTGTAAGAATGGTTTTCAAAGGGAAAAGTATTTTGGAAAGTTTATATTTTTTAATTTACATAAATTACACTTGAATGATAATTGTAACACATAACCAAGATTTACATTATAATTACCTATAACAAATAAATGAAACAGAAATACATGATATTGCCAAATGATAAGATTTCATATATGTATATGTACATTGAACAATATCACTTAGTATTTATTATTAGGTATTAATTATACAAATGATAATGCCACAAAACTGTGATCTATATAATATTATGATTTTGACTGATTTATGGATGCTTTAATTTGAGCTTGCTGAAACGCTTGTTGCAATTTATCTATTACATCTCTCTGTGTATCCAACTTCTTGTCCAAAGTAGACATCATGTCATCCACACGTTTTCTAAAATTTTTTATATATAAACATAAAAACATAAAAACAATTAAAAATAGTATCAAGGTTCAGATTATAACCAATAAACCTACAGTTCGGACTTGATATAATTCATGCGCTTGTCGACGTTTTGCTTGGCTTCATATAAATCTTGCTTCACGAGTACAGGACCTATTAATTTGAATACATCATTTTCCTCTTTCAAAACGTCCAACTCCTTCTTCACCATAATATTCTCGTTCAGCTGTCCATCCAATTGCTGCCTCTGACTTAATGCCTTGTTATATTCTGCAAATGCAATTGATATGATAAAAATAATGAAATAAATGAATAACACGTACCAATATCCAAAAAAATATTCATGAACATCTTCTAACCTTTCTGGATTTGTCTTAGCGTATCAGCTTCATTCTGAAGCTTTTTTTGAATTTCCTCCACCATGATTACTTAAAAGATGTATTCTTAATTATGTCAAAAAATGGGATGCAGTCGAATGATATAATGTAACCAGTCGCTAAGTTGTATAATAGTAAAAATTTATGCAGAAACAAAAACCACACGCCTCAATTTGACAAAGCAACACCAACATAATCAAATATCTTGACTATATAAGTATAGGCCATAAACTGCGTTCAGAAAACACACATTTATACAACCATTGAATGAGCACTCGTTCTCATTGATATATTCTTCTAAATTTCACATGGATCTAAAAGTCTATTCCAATTACAATAAACAATGATCCTAAACATTTAGATCTGTTCTACGCGTCATTCTATGCGTCAGTGTCGGTCCACAATAGGTGATTTAAGCTTTAAGAAGTAAGAAATTGACCAATTATAATCGAATATGAAAAGAATAATCGACTATGATTGGTCAATTTCTTACGACTTAAAGATTAAATACTTGT